TTTTTTTTTTTTAATACATCTAATCAGCAGTACTTTAGTGCAAAAAAAAAAAGGACAATTTTCGGATATTTACAGTCAGTAAATCGTTTTTAAAGATGTTTAGCCTTTCACTGTTCCCTTTGCCAAACGACTATTCAAGTTGATTTAATTAAAAACTTTTTTTTTTTGCTTTATATATTCAAAAGAAAAAATAAATATAGAGAAGATGATAATGATGACAAATAATGTTGCTTTCTTGAAACCAACCAATTACATATTTTTGCCCATTAATTATAGCCATTTTTTCTGAAGCTTTTTTTTTTAAAATGACATTTCTGTCCCAAAAGATATATTTCGGTTATCCAAACAAATGCCCATTAGTTGTTTGAAAAACTCGAGAAAAACTTAATCATAAATTTGTCTGTTTTGGTAATCTTTCATTAAGCTGTCTAATTAAGTACTGACAACAACAGACAAACACATATTGCCAGATATATTTTAAGACTGTTTTATATTCAGCAAATCTAAAAACTAACTTATCGAAAATAAGCATCGCAGCATGCCAGTTTTATTCATACTTAATCCAGAAGGCTTTCATTACTTAGGCAAACCATTCTAAATTAAATGCTGTAACTGTTGTTAAATGTTAAAACTGATTCTGTTCTAATAATTTTCTACTATTTTTTTCACCCCTTCATATATACATATATGTACTGAAAAACAGTAAAAAAGAAGAACAGTTCAAGAAGAATCCAAAACTAATGGCCAATGTTCCGTCAATTCAAACAGTGAATCACTGAAACAGAATAAGAGAAAAAAAAAAAACAAACCGAAACAAAACAAAGCAAAAAAAGAAAAAACCAAAAAAGAGTAGATTGATAATTTGAGTCAGCTATTTAAAATATGCACAAAAAATTTTTTTGTCGGATATCAACAAAGAACATAAAACAAAAAACAATTCTTAGAATACCTTTTTTTCCCTTTTTAGAAAGAAAAAATAAACCAAAAAAAAAGAATGAAAGCCCTTTTTTTCCTACTTTAAAAATGCATCTTTGATCGACAGATCAGAGAAAGAAAAAGTGATGTAAAAAGCCAAAATAATACGAAACAGAACGAAACAAAAAAACAAAAGAATGAAATAGGACAGACCAAAAAAAAATTGCTGATAACCAATTTAGAAAAGCTTAGTTTAGTTGTTGAAATCGAGGCATTCTTCTCCTTTTTTTTTCCTACTGCACTTTCGTCCGTTAGCCTTTAAAATAGACAAAAAAAGAAGAAGTAAAAAAGTATAGAAATATCTTTGGAAAAAAGAACAGCTAATCAACGCAAAAATGCTTGGGAAATATTATTTGCACCATATTTTTTTGTTCACCATTCTCTACTGCTGCTTCTGTATTCCAATAGCTTATTAAATACGAAAGCTGATACATATCAAAGCAGTTTTTTTCTTTTTGCACTATAAGTTTTCAGAGTATATCGGTCAAAAAATAGAGTATAACAAAAATGAAAGTTAGAATTCAAAAAAGCAACAGCAAAAGAAAACAAAGAATAAACTATCATATCTATACAGAAAAGCCTTTCTCTTTTAGTTAAAAATCTTGCTTGCTCTTTTTTTTTCGTTCCAACACAACAGTAAAAATATGATTGATATATTTGTTCACTATTCAGTCATTAAAGAAGAAGTACAATGAATATCAATAGAAAAGAAAGTGAATGAAAGAACAGCGGAAGACAACAATTCATCGTCAATATGACATTGAAATTTGATAGTTCAATGCAGTCAATTTATAAATGGTTTGCATGCAACAGTTCAAATATCTTCCATCAACAAATTTGAAATCGTCACGAAACTCCGGAACTTTCGTAGAAATATTAAAAACTGAAAAACTTAACGATAGATTCACGAACTAAAGCTGAAATATCAATCCATGAACCGCATTTGGTCAGACTATATCTTAGAACTGGCGTAATGCATTAATAAGCTAAGCTTGGTGTGCAAAATATCGATGCAGAGAAGAGGATACTGCTAATTCACGATACCTTTAGACACAATGATGATAAGAAGTGTGAAGCAACAATTTTTTACCGATTCCGTCGAAAATTATGGTGATTAAAGTAGACGGAAAAACTATTAATGGCATAAAAAACAGTGAACTGTGTCCCAAGCTTTCCTTATGACTTTTTTTTTTTTAGTCAAATCTATTGGCAGCCATACAATCGCCTAATACACTAAAACTGTTCCTTATTTTACGGTAAATTAAGCTTAAGAAAAAGCACAAAATTAAACACTGACTACAATAGATTAAATTTTGATGGCTATATATCTTTTTCCTTCTTGGCTGTAATTACTTTTGGAACTTGATAAACAAAAAAAAAAAAAAAAGAAAAAACAAAAATTGCATTATTTTAAAAAATCTCAAACGTTTTCCAACGTCTAATTTTCTTTTATTTTCCTCCCTTTCCTGATGTCTTCCTACCCTAAAAAAAAAAACAGAGTTTTCAATTCCGTCTTTCGCCTATTTTGGTTCATTATTTTCAATAATAGTATTTATAAGGCGTAAAGATTAGCAAGATTGAAAAAAATTAGCATCCTTCTTGCCTTCCTCGTTTCTCATTTGATCAGGAAGTATATGGTATTTTAGACGATAAATACACAAAAAAAATAGAAGAAAAAGTGAAGAGCAAAGCCAACTGATTAGACTAAATTAGAAAAGTGCTATAATAATGACTAAAAAGATTACTTAAAGAAAGGAAACGAAATAATCCGCAGAAAAAAGGAAAAAGTCTGAATAATTATCAGAAAAAAACATGACTTTTTTTTCTTCTTTTTCTTATTTGTCAGTTGGAAGAAACATAAAAAAACACAACAACAACAACAACAACAAAATCCGACGGTGTAGAAAAAATATAGTTGTTTTCTATGTTTAATTCCATCAGTTTATAGACTGACAAAAAAAGAAAGATCTCTTTTTCTTAATGATATAGGTTGACAACTATTGTTCATAAAAAATCATTCATCAATTGTGCATTACTTAGCGGAAAAAAGCTGCAGCTGTCTAAAACATCGATGACAACGGCAGATTCACCAAGTTTGGACAAGTAATCAACGTCTAGACAATAATATTTAAGCTAATATTATTGTAGTAGTAAAAAAAAAACAAAGAATTTTTAAGACATAACAGAACTACAGTTGTACCAAATTTTTCGCCATACTTACACAGTCGACATCCTCTCAATTACCCCGATTATGCAAATGAGCTCTAACAACTATGACCTTTGTAAAAAACCAAAAAAAAAATACAAAAAAAGCAGTTGACATCTCAGATTGTTTTTAAGCAACAGAACAAAAAAAAACTAAGCAAAGCAAAAAAAAAAAAAAAAAAAAAAAAAAAA